TAACGATATAAATTTTTCCTTTTGCAATAACTATCTATTAACCCACTCCCGATATTCTCTCCTTGTGATTCACCCCCTCTATCCCCATACACTTTTGATCGACATTCTGTCTTTGATGGGATTTCGTTGCATCATAGTCAACCTAAGCAGATCGATCTCCACTTTCTTATTGTTATCCGCCTTTTTTCCGTACTCATACTCCATACTCACTTTACTTAACTTCTCCACAGGGCTATTGCTGTTTTTCGGCAGTTCCATCACGCTTTTTGGGCGTGGACAGAAGGCCAATCCGTAATCGGTCATGCACTCTCTCTCTATTATGTCCTCATGCATCTCGATGACCGGCCGACTGGACAAGGCGTCTTGCTTTCAATCCACAAGTCGTCATCTCAAATATGCGCAAGTGCGAGGTCACTCGCACAACGTTTTCCCAGCCATCACGTGAGCGGTGGTAGCCGCATGGCAGCCGAGCGTCTGTGCGACGTACCTGCACACTGCCTATGCCTTTTTTAATAATTACATCCAAATCATGCATTCTTATGAGGTATACCGTTTTAATGTTAAACAGTGTGCCATCCGCATGAACGTACGGGTTGGTCAGATTATTTTCTTTGTTATGAGAATTGTACGAAACGCTGCTAATGGGCAAGTTACTTAGTCTAACCCCACGTAACTTCCACTTGCTCTCTGATGGCCGAGTTATCTGCTCCACTGGCAATCCCCACCTTGGTCGAACAGCAACTTGTTACATGTGGGTGGCGTACTCGATGTTGTCCAGGTTAGAGGTTTTCGCGATTCAAGCGCCGTCGGATTCATATGTTCGCACGTCAGGTTTCCTGATGCAGTGTCAAACGTTTTGTGCCTCAACACGCACATCTGTTTCTGGAAACTTCGAGGCTCATTTCAGTTGCTAAGCATGGCATGTGATACAAATATTCCTTCTATCTGCAACACGTTCTCCTGCGTACTATTACTTGGGATGCATCTCTACTCTGGGAGACCATGATGCTACCTTTTGTGGATATTCAAATGGTTTTTCGTCTATGGTTAATCCCAATACCTAGTCTTGCTGTCCTCTGGTCACGAGAGCTCGTTGGCGCTTTACGCGCGTGTGTGTCATGCTGGTGATAATCCGGTGGCATTGCATTTGAGTTCTACGATACATGCGGACCACAACATATTACACATCGTCGGTTGTTGACCAGTTACCTTCGCATCATCAACTCGGCCCTTTGCTGGTTTCATTTTAGAATGTGCGTTGAGAACCCACATTTCCATTACTCGATCAGTAAGCTGATGAACCATCGTTCCGCTGCAACGTCTGATAAGCGGGCCGCATAGTCATGACTAGAGATTCTGAGAGCGGGGATTACTGCTGGTGTTTTAGCATCCCCAAGCCAATTTCGATTCGGTTTATTTATGGGCTGTACTGGTTTTGCAGAATCGAGTTCGATGAGAATATTAGACGGCGCTTGAATAAGCAAACTCGGCTATAAAAATTAACTTCTTTGGTTCTATACCAAACGACCTCATAGAATCAGTTGCTTATTGACTCCTTAACGCATTACTCTTAATGCACACCACAGTGTGGATCACGGTTCACGAAATCACCCAAACGCCAGGTGCACTTTGGATGCCCTCGCTAAAGTCAGATAATAAAGATCAGGTCAAGTCACACTATGATCGAACGGCTGTCTCATCCCTTCAGGATCGATTTGCAGCACAACCCATCAACTAATTGGGGGACCGACTTCACAATCACTTTTTCAAGACGTGTTTAGTTATTTTTGGACCACAGGAGCCGAGTGCAGATCTTACCAATTGTAATCTACACTGGCTGGTCTCTGCCGCCGTGTAAAGCAATATCAGGCATAGCACCGAGTTTGCCCTCATTCGATTTGTTGATTTCTCGCACTAATCCACCGATCATCGTATCCTACCATGGGCCATTTCAGTTGCATCGTCACACTCGTCGAGTATTGGTGAGGCCTTTCTGCTATGCGAATAAAAGAAAAATATCTATGGTTCTCACCAAATTTCCATTTGCTTCTAAACATACGGTGTATGATGCTGCTTACAGCCTTTGCGATAGGCTACCACATCTCCTTTGTGTGTATGTGATGATCGTCGACGCTATCGTGTTCCTTGTTTGCCATGAAGGTTGGTTGGGCAGCATTCGCACTGCGGTCAGTGTCGGTTTGATAGATTGTCTTTCCTCTTTTGTACTCACTATGTTGTGACAAGACAACCCGTAGCTTGTTTGTCCTGCATGTTTTCTATCGCCTCAGAAGTGCAGCTTTGTCTAATGGACGTCTGGTTCAAATGCGGGCAATCAACCCACATTTTGCTTGTACCGGTTTGCGTACCATTGCTCTTCCGCACACAGTGAATCCCCCGTCCCGCTGCATAATCACCTCTTGTGTTCCACTCTGCACATCTCACTCTGTGGCCGGGTTCATCCTCGTTTAACCCTTAGCGCGGATCTTGCCTGAGTTGAGAGAAGAGCCACTGGCCCGTGTGATTTAGTAAGCTTCAAAGCGACTTCTTAGTTATGCATCAGTGTATCGGAGGCAAGGCAAACCGTGTCGTCATATGTTCTTATTGGACAGTTTCGTCCGCTGCAGTCTTTACTATCGAATATCCTTGAGTTATACGTATGCGTTTTGCCCACCATTGTGAGCTGATGTGTTGCATCTTGACTTTACCTTCCACTTGTAGTTTAGGATTGCACATCAACCATGCAATGTACACGAGCCTTATTACTTTATCATGATACCACTTGCTTCTCTAGTTTTAAGGGGAACATCGTCATCTATGTGAGGGGAACTTCAGTGTGTTACAGTAGATTTCTGATCAAACACTGGTCTCCTGTTCCACCAGACCACTTCAGCGAACCTCCGGCTTGCATATCTTGTGCCCATCATACAAGTTACGTCTGAAAAGGTCGGTAAGTGTTCTCAAAAAATAAAGGAAACATGAGTTACTAACAAAAGTGATCACATTTAGCTGCAACACGCTTCTGACATCGGATATAAAGCTGTTGGAAACTGTCAACAAACGCTTCTCGTGGAATCACTCATAGCACCGTGGTCACGCGTTTTTGGATATCCGCACAAATTCTCCGCTATATATATATATATATATATATATATATATATATATATATATATCCTCAGAGTTGCGACTTAGCAGCTCCTATGTTGCGCCTTGCGAGCCAAGGGTCAAGCCACCGGACGAGTAGTCTATTGGCGAACACTAAACAGACTAACGTGGGACAAAAACACACCGATGCACTTGGAATCACGGTTGTTTGCTCGGTTGCTTTTATAGGTCTCGGACAATCAAGGGACGTGTAAGTGGCGTGAAACAAGCGACAGTAAAAATGTTCTGAGACACGGAAAAACACCGGTTTGATTGTAGCTGAGGCTGTTATGATACAAAACACACAGTTGCTTGTGGGAAATGGCACGCTTACCTTCCTGAACAAGTCAATTTGTTTTGTTTCTGTGCTCATATGACTTTGATATGTGTGGAATTCTATTACAAAATTTGGTCTGAATCAGTGACGCCAACTCGACTTGCTTCTCAGACAGTGAACTTTTTCTCGGAGTATGTCATTTGAGACCTTTACATATATATATATATATATATATATATATATATATATATATATATGCATCCGTCTATGGATAGACACTGAGCCATCGAAAACCATGAGGAACAAAGTACAAACGTTTAAATGTCACAAACAGGGAACAAATATTTTGGGTTTTTCGGCATGTTTTCACTTGCCATTTTGTTCACTTTTTGCTTTTTTTCGCAAGCAATATTGCTTAGACTGTCTTTGCTTATCTTCAACTCTTCTGGTATCATTCTCAAAACAACCACAGTTGCTTCGCATACATTCGTCGCACTCGTTCTATGTTGTCTGGGTTTACGCTTTTTTACGGCCGACACGAGTGTAATTCATCGTCGAACCTTCTACTTCGTCCCTTTAAGCCACTCAAATATGCACTTTCTCTTCACTGCTTCGACATCGTACACTTGCAGTTGCATTTCATGAGTCTCCATCGCCTTATGTGAAGCCAAACTTTCTGTCAACCTGTTGCTTCATTTTGCCACGGCACGGGTTATCACGCTGACTCCCTTAGCTTGCACAACACGAGGGCTTGTTGATTTGTATCTTAGTTCGTATGCTCGGGTCGCTCATCCTAACTAGCACGGTTTTTAAATTATGGGATAATTCACCTAATTTTTCAGACCACTTTGCACTTTTTCCTCCAAATTCCATCTCGTTTGGATAGTGGCGGTACGCCTTTCTAGCTGACCTACCAACGCATTAACGCTCTTCTTTCTTACTATCAGCCAACTTTTCTGTTTTTACTAGTTTTTTTCGGGTGGTGTTATACTGGTTCTTAGTATAGCTGTCATCATCGAATGTGAATGTATTCGATTTACCTACCGTAAACAGAGCAAAACTATGAAAGCGGTATCTCTTTCGGTGGTCATGCAGTTTTAAGCGTGATTAATTTTCGATACACGATCACACTTGTAAGTCCCAATGTCTACCACTTTTTTGGAATATACCCTTTGTTTATTGATGTAATAAAACCACTCGTTATCGGTCGAACAGTTATCAAATGCTATGGTTGGACTGAATCCTCTGATTTTTCATGTCCCAGCCGACGACGGTCTAGTTTATCATGACAGGTGGCCTTTTACGAGACTGTTTGTCGGAAAGAAACTTTTTCTTTGAACTAACAACCCCCTGTGACTTCTTCACTTGACTCAGGTGTCGGCACATCAAGTGCACTTCAGCGTACGTTGCAGCGCGACCATTATAACTTAGTGTCTCTTTTTAGGTCGTGATTTTGTATGCCATTGGCGGCCGGTTAACATCGTTTACTGCTCTAGCACGCGTTCTACCAAGTTATGACGGCTGAAATATGCCGAAGGACTTTTTAGAATCTAAAATAATGCGCGTCTCATTCATTTCACAGTGTTTCTCCTCGTTCTCCGTCGTGTTTTGGCCAATCCAATTTGGTTGGGAGTCACATTCACATCCATGGTGGAGCAGTCGATCGTCGCAGCCTTTCTCGCCTACGCCGCCAAATACATACAGGATCTCTTTCAAGTTCCCGCTTATTTGGCGAGTATCCACACGGGTGAGACGGTGGTCCTCGCTTTTGCACACTCCACTGGATGTTTTCTCCATTTTTGCAATAATTCACTCTCAACGCTGCTTCATGCTTTTATCATCGTTAATTATTTAGCCTTTATTCCGATCGTCCTGAATTAACGTAGCCTTTTGCTTTACCGTCTGAATCTTATCGCTCTTGGGTTTGCCTCTCACTCAAACATCTAAGTACGTATGCATTAGGTTTAAATTTTAGCAGTGAGTCCAGATGATGTTCGCATCATTACACCTTCCACCGCAACATCTTACCAGTCATTTGATCCATTGTTTCGTACGATCCCCTGGTCGTCAGTCACGCAGAACTGCAATGCACTGCCTGTCCTTAAGGTTTCATTCTCTTAACCTAATGGAGATTTCAGCTCTTGTGCTGTGTTGGACTTTTTCCCAACCATCATAGCCAGCACTGGTTGGGTCACCACGTTCTTTCGCTTACCCATGAATCACCGCCTCGATCTGTCTCATTCATCAGTACTTGCCTACTTGGTTGGGTTTAGCTCTCGAGTGGCCAGTTGAAGACTTGGCAGAAGTTCACTTCAGCGTTGAGCTATATTGATTCGTGTTATCCGGCTAGATGGGCAGTATAGAATGGGACTATATGCCTATACGGCTAATTTTTTGTAGACATGCAATTTGTCCGACAAACCCGAGTAGGTAGACAAATACACCATTCCAAAACTTGGTTTAATCTATTCACACAGCGTTTCTGCTGGCTTCGGGCTTTTGTCACTGGCCTAGTGAAATACGTCATTTTGTGGCTGATTAATCTTTCTCAGTGACGCTGCACGTTGACAACCAGCCAGTCAACTTTCATGGGGACAATGCACAACCAATAATGTGTTCTATGAAAACTGCTTTATTTTGAAGTGCCGATTGGGTACAGGTGGTTTTTGGTCGGCTGCGTGCTTTGCTTCTTAAGGCCGGTTAGTGTAAGCCGGTTGATCTCATCATAAAACCTGAGTATCGTTATTCGACGTTTATAACAGAGTTTTTGCATTGAATCAAACTGATCTGTGTGATGAATCGATCGTCGCGCACGATAATACCGCCTCCTGGGTATCATCCTAACATTTGTTTGCCTTGTTTTCCCATCGGAACTGTCCCGGTTGCATGTGAATTACATCTGGCGTCGAAAGAGTTTTCATCTTGTACTTATCTAGAGTAAGCCTTGTTCATCTCTTCATCTAACTTGGTGGCCAACCTTCACGTCCTCTCTTGACCTGTAGTACACGCTTCTCTGCAACGATTACGTTCGTGCCTTCCACGCCGTTGGCTCATGCGATCGGGGCTATTGTCATTTGGGATAAGGGATGACCGGAACGCTTATGTCTTGCACCCTTTGCCACCTGTAATCAGTAGTTAGTGTGCATGCATAAAACACTACATATCGTAGACTTTCGTATCAACATTATTTAACCGGAATCTACTGACAGATCCCATGAAACCAACTATCCATCTCACTGTCTTGTGAATTGCGTTGTTGAGTACAGGATCACAAGTGATACCTAGAAACAGATATCTTCTCCCAAGTAAACGCCCGTGGATCGTCATCTGTTCACTAAGCCCAATCGCTTACAACTTATCTTAGAAGAAGGGTGTAGTGAACAAGCTTGTTTTCGGTGGATCATCATCAGGCTAGTACAACCAAGTATGTAGGTCAAAATGAACATGTGAATTACACGCGTCAATAAATCAAGATCTCATCAATACGGTTAGGTGATTAGCCCGACCTGTGTGAAGTCGGTGGGAATGGCGTGATACATCTACTTGTGTCTGTCTGGGGCCAGGGTGGACAGAGCGTCTGCACAAAATTCTTCTGTGCGCATAACTCCTGGTTACGGAGTCGAATTGCAATTGCTTCTACTTTCGACAACAGACGACATCTGACAGCTCTCGTGTGGCGTCCTGGCAAACAGTAGATCGGTTGGAATGAAGCTTTTGCGTTTATTTTGTGGTTAGTATCCACTAAATGTGACAAGACTGCGCTCGTCACATTCTTTCTCTCACCATTGTATAGCTAAGCGGGACAATGCTCTCGAACTCTTACGGACAGTCGCTTGATCGTTTTTCCAATACACCTTACTCGAGACGAGCAAGAAAAATTGTACACACGAAGGGAAATTTTCGACCGGGATATCCTGTCTTTGAGCTGCTGTCACACACTGGGTGTTTACGTTAAGCTTACACGTAACTCGGCCACAAAGTACGTTTTGGCAGGGTAAGCTTTCGAGTGGTCCACTGCGCTATCGCGTCACCCTTAAACGACATCGATAACTACATTAGGCGCTTCTCTACGAAAGCAGATTTCGTCTTCGGTACTGGCGGTTCCATGTGCTTCTGGATGAACCTTTTGGGTATCCATTAGGTTCGAACACCCTTTGGATGAAACTTAGCTCCTCAGAAAGCGTATCTTCTGTGCATATTCGTCTCGCTCTCTCAGTGAGACAACGGACTAGATTACGCTTCTGGCTGATTGGAACGAAACTATGGAAGTGGGTGCATTGCCCATTCCAAGTTCCCTTTCTGTGCACTCTCCTCCGCATTGGCCCGTCTGCTGCCCTATTAATCTGGACGTCTAGAAAGGATTAGGAATCGTCACTTTTGACTTCGAGAGTAAACGTTATGTTGTTGTGCGCGGAGTTCAAGTGGGTCAGCAGATCTTCAATACACATATCGTCGTCCGCAACACAAAAGATGTCATCTGCATATCGACCATAATAAACCAAACTGTTGATGGACTCCTTCAACTGGTTGCTCTCCAGTTTACTCATGAACACATTCGCGAGTAACGGGCCTAACGGCGAACCCATGGCCACCCCATCTATTTGTCGGTACAGTGATCCATTGAATTGAAACCGGATGTTTCTCGTGCATGTCAGCAAAAGTTGTCTTAATCGATCTGGTGGGATACCGACGTTGATGTTTGGCAACTGGATGAGCTGACATAGTATAGTCTCTTCCAATGGAACTGGTGAGAAAGGACACCACGTCTAATGAAAACATTTTCCGCCCGGTTAGTTCACTTTGTTTCACTGTGTTGAGAAACTCCAAAGCGTCCTTGAGATTGTACTTGGCTATGGTTTTTCGGACTGGTTCCAGCCGTTTGACGAGCCACTTGGCGGTCCAATGATACGACGAGTTGTACATATCCTAGTGGTAGCTCTTCCTTACGCACCTTGGGCAGGCCGTAAAATCAGTTCCACTCTGCCTGGTGTATTCGAGTATGTCAGAGTCCATGACCTATTCGTTTTAGGCAACACAAACGTTTCCTTATGGACTCCTCAACTGCTTGCGTCTTGTCATTCTCATTGTCCACTCTAACAGTAGTAGTAGTAGTAGTAGTAGTAGTAGTAGTAGTAGTAGTAGTAGTAGTAGTAGTAGTAGTAGTAGTAGTAGTAGTAGTAGTAGTAGTAGTAGTAGTAGTAGTAGTAGTAGTAGTAGTAGTAGTAGTAGTAGTAGTAGTAGTAAGTAGTAGTAGTAGTAGTAGTAGTAGTAGTAGTAGTAGTAGTAGTAGTAGTAGTAGTAGTAGTAGTAGTAGTAGTAGTAGTAGTAGTAGTAGTAGTAGTAGTAGTAGTAGTAGTAGTAGTAGTAGTAGTAGTAGTAGTAGTAGTAGTAGTAGTAGTAGTAGTAGTAGTAGTAGTAGTAGTAGTAGTAGTAGTAGTAGTAGTAGTAGTAGTAGTAGTAGTAGTAGTAGTAGTAGTAGTAGTAGTTTATATCTCCGAGGCACAATATCGACAGCTAAAACCGACAGGGACGGAAACACCAAGGATGAGGGGTGCGCCGAAGTTGCACAAGGCGGGAATTCCACAACGTCCAATAATGTGTATGAATAACTCACCCTACCACAAAGTAGCTCGGTGGTTGGCAAAGCTATTAGAACCCGTGCGTAAGCTCCTGAGCACGCATTGTTTGAAAGACTCCTTTGAATCGGCGAATATGCTGGAACAAACTACACTCGACGCGGAGCTCATGTATTCCATAGACGTGGAATCACTTTTCACGAATGTGCCCCTACGTGAAACGATCGACGACCTATGCCGATTTCTTTTGAGTCAGAACCTCTCGGTGGGCCTTCCTCTGGGGTTCCTGCGAGACTTGATATTGTTGTGCACTGAGAATGTGCGTTTCCAGTTTGAAGGGACGGCCTACAAACAGATTGACGGCGTCGCCATGGGTAGTCCTTTGGGACCAGTTCTGGCAGATATCTTTTTGGGTATGATTGAAAGGAAAGCTGCTGCCTGCATTGGTGAAGCCAAGCTTTACAAGCGTTATGTAGATGATATTCTCGTTTTCACCAATGGGGAACATTTTGACCGTCTTTCTGCCCTCCTGAACTCAATTCATCCTAACCTTTCTGTATCACAGGAGAGGGAAAAAGAGAACAGACTGCCGTTTCTGGACGTGCTCATCGAAAGAAGGACCGATGGCACACTGCAGCGCACTGTGTACAGAAAAGCGACCTGGGGGGACAATACCTGCATTTTTCTAGCTTCGCCCCAGTCGCATACAAGCGCGGCCTCGTAAAAACTCTCTTCTACAGAGCCAGGCGGATTTGCAGTCCGGAATTGCTCAAGGCTGAAGAAGAGTTTCTATACCGGACTTTGCTAGCCAATGGGTATCCGGAAAAATTCATTCAGATTCATAGCAGACCCCCGAAGGAGAAACTCACGGTACAAACAGCGGAGAAGAAGAATGTTTATTTGTTCTTACCGTTCAAGGGGGATCACGTGGCAAATGAAGTTGCTCACAAGCTCAGGTCCGCTCTAACGCGCACCTACTCTACCGCACAACTACGACTTATCCACACTACACGAAGGATTCCTCTCCAGAGCCGTCCGAGTAGCTCGCCAATCAGCTCGGCCTCTAACACCATCTATCAGTTCACTTGCAGTTACGGTGACACTTACATAGGCAAGACTGGTCGGCGGCTAGCTCAAAGGATGGCGGAACACTTCCCAATGTGGCTAAGGC